GAGCCCAGCACTGGGCTGCTGTGACCGAGAGCACCTCTGCCCTCCCACATGCACTCAGGCTCCAGCTGGCCCTCCCAGCAGGCTCCCGTGCCTGCGGGCCACAGAGGGTACGCTCGGCCTTAGACAGCCCATCTGGCTTCTGGTTCCTCCTGCCTCGAGCAGGTCACTCAGCCTCTCTGCGCCTCTGTTCCCTCTTTGGGGCTTCGAAGGCAGGGGCTGCATGGAAAGTCCTAGCTCTGTCTCCCCCCGGAACCCAGAGCCCCGTTCCCTGAAGTCCTGCAGTGTGGGGTGGGCCACGGGGAAGGGCTGGGGGCAGCCTCTCCTGCACACTTGCTGGCTCCAGAGCCTGGGTGGGCATGCAAGGCCCCTGGGACTTGGTTTCTTTGTCTGTAAAAATGAGGAAAGTAACATCTGCCTTACTGAGGCTGCGAAGGGTAAAGTGGGCAGAGATAAGATCTGATCTGGGTTTTATGAAGATCTCTGCAGCCATAGTCTGGATGCATCCTGACCACGGCTGCAGAGAGATGAGCAGGTTTGGGACGCATTTTGGAAACGGTGAAGGACTAGCTGATGCACACCTTTACGATCAATCCCTCTCAGAATGGTTTCCAGCTGCTCTCGGGAGTGGTGCTTCCTGATGGGGTGGCGGAGCTGTCTCTTGCTGGGATGGCAGCCAAAAGAGGTCTCGTTATGCTGCTCATGAAGGCACCAAGGCCTGGGAAGGGTCGGAGGTCAGTATAAGCCGGTTGCTGGGCTGGGCCCCAGCGCACTCCGCTGCCCCTCCTCGGCTCCAGCAACTGCCCCCCGTGCCCCGCCCCCGCCGTCCTGCAGCAGGAGGCCAGTCGCTCTGGTGCCTGGTGCAGCCTGCCAAGCACTGTTATTTCCCTGCTGCCAGCAGCTGCCCTGGCTGGGCCCTGGCCCTCCCTGGCCATCTGCAGAGATGCTATTTCCCCTTCAGCAAATCCTTGGGAGGGGCAGGGCTAGCTTGCAGCTCAGCTTGGTATACTGTGGGTCCCATGAGCCACTGTTTTCCCTGAAGACTGTCATCCCAACTCCCCAGGCCTCTCGGGGACACCTGCCAGTCCTGGACACCTGCCACTGCCCAGAATTGGGGGAGCAGCCTGTTGTCCCCGGCCCTGCGTCTGCTCTGCCATGCCGGCCTGGGCCCAACCCATTGCAGTCCCGCTGGGGTCTGCTACATTCCTTACCCATCCAGCAACCCCCCTGGGCATTTGCCCGGGGGAGCACCGTTCTGGGCGCTGTGGGGTTTGAGAGACGACCAGGAAGCTGACTCTGGAGCCCGCCGACCCACAGTCTGCTGTGACCTGCTGGGGCATCCCTGTTACCGCCCTGGTCGCAGAGCAAGCCGGGGTGCTTCCAAGGCTGAGGGGCTTCTGAGCAAGCCCCTGGCTCTCCTCCGCGACTTCCTGGTGCACCAGCATCTTGCATCCCATGTTTCCCATCTGTTTACTGTGTGTATGTTTGTAAGCGTATCACATTCTTCTCTTAATGAAGCGAGGGACCAAGAGAGAAGGGCCACGGCCCAGCACAGGGCAGCCAGAGGGGTGGGCTCCACACCGGTCCCTGCTGAAGTGATGGAGGGTATCCCCGGCTGGAGGGGGTTGCTGGGCTGGGGGGGTGGCGAGGCTCGGCCAGGCTGGAAGGACCGGGAGGCCAGGGCACGGGTGCTGAGTGCAGAGGCTCTGAGGGAAGCCAAGGGCTGAAGGAGGGGAGGAGGGGCACCAGGCAGCCGCCCAGCCTGGGTCTGAATCTTCATGAAGCGGTGGGGGTGGGGGGGGGCCTAGAAGCAACTTGGCAAGGGAGGGAGATCAAGGCAGCAGAGGCCATTATGTCTCTGTCGGGGCCCTCGGGGATCGGCCCGGACCCAGCGCTTCTCTGAGTCTTTTTGGCATCCCGCTCTTGGCTTTCACCGCGGGAGCCACGGCGTCCACAGCCGCGCCGATTCCCCGTTAGTGGCCAAGCTCCCACCCCAGGAGTCTTCCCAGCAAACGCAGGCCGTTTTAGCTGCCTTCCCAACTGCCGCTGCTTTGAGTGGCTCACTGTCCTCCCTGGGGGAGGGAGGAGGCTTCCAGTAGCCCCCGTGCGTGCCCAGAGGCCCGCGGGCGTCCGCTGGCGGGGAGCGCTGGCCCAGAAGGGCCCATGCTGCGTGTCCGGCTTGCCGGACACCTGGGCCGTGGGACTCCCGACAGCAGCAACCTCACAGGGCCACTCCTGCTCCTAGGTGTCAGAGATGCCAGCCGAGCAGGACCTGGCCCTGTTCTCAGGAGCCGGCGGTCTGGGGGAGCCCCCTGACCTGCCTCGAGCCCCCTGGTTGTTTTCCTCATCTTCGCGTGTGGCGTCGATGCCGCTGCCTCCCGTGGCGTGTGGCTCTCCTCTCGGGGAGCCGCGCTATCATCACGGGGTCCTGGTGCCAGCAGTTCGAGGCCTTGGGAACTGTCTCCTTAGAGTCACGGCATCCGTGACAGCAGGGGCGCATTCCAGCCTGCCCGCCACCCCCAGGCAGAGTGGAGCTGCAAGAGCCCCTTCCTGGCCTCCTGGGTGAGTCACTCCACCGTCCTCCAGATGGCACTTTCAGAGGACAGGAGGTGGCAAGGCACACTTCGCTTTGGCCGTGCAGCATGGTCGTCCGTTTCAGCAGCAACTGGGGCAGCGCAGGGGCTGGCTGGGCCCTGGACCCGTGACGGGCACCAGCAGTCTGTGTGGACGGGCCGGCTTCAGGGGTGGTGTGACCGAACCAGCCTTGGGAGAAGCCGGGCTCTCTCTGAGCAGAACCCAAGCCCCAGCATGGGCCTGGGGAGGGGGAGGTTCAGACTCTGCCAGGCAGGCACAGAGCACCTCCGCCCTCTTGTGTGATGCAGGCCTAGAAGAGGGCAGTTCTGGAAAGTTCTTCCTCACCTTTCAGAAGAAGAAACTGTATCCAGGTGGAGGGCACTTGTCCAAGGCAGCACACCTGTGACAGATGGGGGCCTGGCTGCTTCTCCAGGGCTGCTGCTCTGGAGCGAGGCGGTGGGCTTGCAGAGAGCACTGGTGGCAGGAGAAAGTGTGCCCCGTTCTGTCCCCTGCAGCACCCACGCCCCCCCTTCCTTGTCCCTCTGCCTCACCTTCCTTCTCCAGGGAGGGTGGGGGTTGCAGTGTTGTGTAGAGCTCCACCGCTTACCGGCAAGCACTTCACCGCAGTGCCTCAGTTTCCTGTTCTGTGAAATGGGCATGCTGAGAGTCCCTGCTCATGGGGCGGCTGTGAGATTTAGCGAGCTGGTCCCTGGGTGGGGTTTAGAGCGTGTCCATTAGTACTCTCGCAGAAATGTGTGTGGCCACACTGGTGCCCGTCCCCAGAGAGCATTGAGACCCCGCACACTCGTGAATGAGCAAGCGAGTAGGTATATGCCCCTGCCCCCTTTCCCTGCCAAGCTGCGGGGACTTTGCACAGACCTGCGGACACCACCCTGGTTGTTGCTAACGAGAACATGCAGGGAAAGGGCTCCCTTGGCTTGGCCCTGCCAGCTGTTGGCTCGCATCGGCTGGCTGATGTGGCGGAGCGGGGAGTCCAGCTGCCCCCTGCGGGGCACCCTCCTGCACCGCTGGCCGCGCACCACGCTCCCAGGGCCGGGTCTGTGCGTCTGGGACCAGGCAGCTCTGCGCCCCAGCTTGGCGTGCTCGGGAGCGGGGTGTGGGAGGGGGTCCCCCGACACCTGGGGCGCAGGCGTCTTTCCCCCTTTGTGTTTCACGAAGGACAGAAGCCGACCAACGGCCAGGCCGGCGGAGCTGGGGAGGGGGCCCGGTCTCTAACGTGTCTCCCTTAGGCTGGAAGCCAAACACCTTCTCTGGGCAAGGTGCGTCTGCCAGAGAAACAGGCGAGAGGAGAGCAGGGATCGAAGGCACCGGCTGCTGTGGGCTTGGGGTCGCCGGCCTCTCCCGCTGCCCCCCGCCCCTGCTCGCAGGCCAGGCGCGGGACCAGCGCCCCGGAGAGGCCTCCCCACCGTCTGGCTTGGAGCGGCCCACCCGCCCCGCTAGGTGTCTGCTGGCAGGAGGGGGTGAGCGGCCCCCCAGATGCGGCTCTCGAGACGGTGAAGGAGATAGAGGGGGCTGAGGAGAGTTACCCATAAGAGTTTCTAGATTTTACTCACTTCCCAGGTAGATGTGCATAGTTGGAAGGAACCACGGGGCCTCACTTGACTTGGAGTTGTGCCAGGGTGGCGGGGTGGGGTGGGGGATGGGGAACGGAGGAAGATCCCGGGAAGAGGCCCTGCTGGGAGGGGCCCCACGTGGGAGGTGAGCAGGGCGGGGTGTGCTGGGTGGGCTGGTGCTGGTGGTCAGGTGGACACGGGCCCTTCAGGGGCTGGCAGCTTCTGTGGCTTAAAGGGTGCACAGTTAGGGGACTCCAGTGTGAGCGGCCAGGCGCAGTTTCATTTGAGGGGTCATTTGGACAAAGGTGCTGGTGGCACCACAGGAGACTGGGGTGACGGTGAGTGTGGCTGCCTGTGCCCTCCCGATTCCTCCCTGGGTCCTCAAGGCCTCCCAGGAAATAGGGACAGTGACAGGGCAGCAAACAGAACGCCGAGGCGTGCGGGCGCCCTGCGCACTGGCCAGCAAGGCCTGGGCTGGGAGCAGGGGGGGGGGGGGGGGGGGCTCGTCTCCCTTCCGGGGGCAGTGGCTGCCGGCTGCCGGCCCGGGCCCCTCACCCCTGGGCCCCGCATCTGACTCTGCGGCCCGGCCCACGGGGAGGCAGAGGCCGTATATGCAGGTCCCTGAGGACACCGTGTGTGGGGACGTCAAAGCCTGCCTAATCCCGAGCCTGCCAGGCGCCTTCACACCCAAATGGAGAGCAGCGCGCTGGCTTCCATGAAGAAAAGGTTGCGACTGGGGTTTCGGGAGGGGAGTGAGGGGCCCGGGCTCCACGGGGGTGGGGCACTCGCCAGCTCCCAGCCGGGGGGTGGGGGCGCAGGGAGCAGCGTGTTCAGAAGACGCTGTTCCCTGAGCACGGATCTGACACCTTCTCCGCTGTCAGAACTGAGGCACCCCTGGCCCTGGGCGCTTGGATCAGGTGTGAGATCCAGTGGCCTAATTTTAGACCTTGGGCCTCCATGTCAAAACAGCAGCAGGATAATTTCAAAAAAAAAAGAAAGCAGAGGAAAATGACAGCATGACCTTGACCACCTTGTTAATCAGGGATCAAGCACATCTCTGTGAAGGAAAGGGCGTTGCCGGGCAGGGCCACCGTGGCCACATTGTGCTGCCCGCAGGTCGCCGTGGCACCCAGACCGCTCAACCACTGGGCCCAGGAAGCTCCCCGCCGCCCCGAGTTGGCTGAGGCCGTGTGGACCAGGAGCAGGGCCTTGCCTGCAGGGGCCTGCCCCCCGGGGTAGAGCACAGGGATGGGCGGGAGGGACACTGGTGGCCATCTGGGGTGAGGCCCTCATTGTCAGCAGCGAGAATCCCAATGGGCAGGTGAGATACCTGTTTACCTAGGACCCTCTGGGAAAAATCTGTTTTGCGTCAGAAATTTTTCGGGTTTCTGGTGAAACTTTAAATGCCCCAAATTGTTTCTTTCTGTTCTTTTTCTGTTGGTAATATTCCCTGCCCCCCTCAGTCTAGCTGTGTTGTGATGAGGGGTCACCGGCCAGCAGCTCAGGGTCCCTGCCCAGAGTGCCGCTCAGGGGCTGCTGGGCTGTGCTGCCCTCGCGCCCCTGCGTGGTGGCCCTGGACGCTACGTTCCAGGGCTCCGTGCTTGTTCCGTGTTTCTGGCCCTTCCCTGAGCCCTCATGTCTCGCTGCTTGTAGTGCCTGGCACCCTGTCCCACCCCCCTCCTGTGTCGCTGCTTCTTATCTGCTGGTTGGGGCGTCCAGGTGATCAGAGGTGTTGGAACTGTATGTGAATAAAGTGCGACAGGACTGACTGTTCCACTTCAGCCTGGTTTTCATCTGTTCCTTGTCTGGGACGAGTGTGTGGAGACCTGTGCAGACCTGCTGGGCTTGGAGGGGGCTGGTGCACTCGGGCTGGCTTGCCACCTTGCAGCCCTCTGCCCCTGCCCCGGGGACAGAGTTAGTTTGTTGTTTGTAGTTATCTCTGCAGTTATTATGTTTAAACTTTTTAATTTTTAAGAAGGTTACATGTGTGTGATAAAAGTTCAAACAGCACCAAAAGGCACAGAACGAACCTGTCTCTCTTGAGCCTCTTTCCCCTGCGTCCCCTCCCAGTTTCTTGGGGTCCCTTCCCGAGATGTTCTCTGCATGGAGACATCTCCCTCTTCTCCCTGCATGTGTGGGAGCATCTTCTGCATGCTGTGCTACATTTCGTCTTTCATAGAAAGTTGTAACAGTAGCAGTAACTGAGGTTACTGGCATTCCCTAAGTAGCACTGCTAGCGCCTGTTCTAATTAACCCTTGAACAGAATGCCCCGTGGCGCTCAGTGGCTTTTGGAGATTGCTCGCCGTGGCGTCTGCGGATCTCGGTTCTTCTTCATAGCTGCAGTGCCCCACCGACGGGTCCTGTGGCCAACACAGCCGTTCTCCCACTGGTGGCCGTTTGGTTTGCTTCCAGCCTTTCCTACTATAAACCGTGTTGAATTAAACCACCTATACTGCACGTCTGCGCGTGGGCACACACACGAAGGTCTGTGGCAGGTCCTCGGATCACGTCGTTTCATTATAACATCGATGAGAAGGAAGTTGATTCCTGGCCAGGCCGCTGTCTGAGCCAGCTTGCACGCTCTCCCCATGTCTGCATGGGTTTCCTCCCACGTCCCCAATATGTGCACATTCCGTGAATCGGGGTGTCTACGTGGTCCCCATCTGTGTGTGAGTGTGTGAGCCACCCTTCGGCAGCATGGCGTCCTGACCAGCCCTGGTTCCTGCCTGGCGCCCTGAGCTACTAGGATATGCTCTGGCCACCCGGGACCCTGAACGGGATAATCAATGGATGAATGAATGTAAATTATTGACAATTAAAAATTAGAGTGCTCGGTGAACCTGCCACACTCCCGTGTTTGAACCGTGTGATGGGAGGAGACGCTCCTTACAATGTTCACTTTGCCAACATTTGTTCCTTGATTTAACCCACCACCATGATGACTGCTGTCACTCACTGATCCACCAAACGTTAGGTAAATAATGATTTCATTTTTAAGAGATAGGGTCTCACTCTGTAACCCAGGCTGGAGTGCAGTGGTGCCATCAGAGCTCACTGTAGCCTCAAACTCCTGGGTTCAAGTGATCCTCCTGCCTCAACCTCCCAAGTAGCTGGGACTACAGGTGCATACCACCATGCCTGGCTAATTTAAAAAAATTTTTTTGGTAGAGATGGGGTCTTGCTCTGTTGCCCAGGCTGGTCTGAAACTCTTTGCTCCAAGCAAATGATCCTCCCACCTTGGCCTCCCAAAGTGTTGGGATTAGAGGCATGAGCCACCATGCCTGGCCAATCTTACTTTTTTTTTTTTTTTTTATTACTCTGTCTTAAATGTATGTATAGCTCACATATATTTCAATATTTAATATTAGAAGTGTTTCAGGTCTTTATTTAGAAGTGCAATGAGGATGTTTTTGTGACCAGAAATATGCCATGGGAACTTAACTCTTGTTATCGCCATTAACCTATGGTGAATTGGTTTCGTCATTTGCTGTCTCTATTAGAGTCACAGTTTCCAACGGCCCCTTGCTGGTGTTAGGTGACGCTCTGCTGTACCTCTGGACCTGGCACTGCAGTGGGTCTGACGGTGGCAGAGTTGCGGGGAGGGGCCCGTGTTTGTGGTGGGCTAACTCCCCACGTCCTGAGGCAGACTGTCCTGATGTGGCCTGTGCGGGCGACCCTTGTCCCCAGCTGTGCGTCTGCAAGGCCAGAGGGGCCCTGGCCAGAGCCTGTCTTGCTCAGCAGTATGGAAACGCTGTACGAGATCATCCCCAGGGAGACCGGGCAGCAGTGGCCTCTGGAACAGGCAGGGATCATGCTGTTCTGTTTCATCCCTCCCTTTCAGTAACAACCATGAAAGTCCCTGTCCTCAGAGGGTCATGGGAATTGTTCTGTGGGGAACAATTAGCACAGAACACGGTATTTTGAACCCAGACTGTACCCGCGAGGAGAAGGAGTCCCCACGCCTAGCACGCTGTTCCCTGGGCAGCCAGGCACTGTTTTCAGGGACAGTCTCACCACTCTGCGAAGCAGGATCATCCCGTCAGCAGCCGACTTCCCATGCCCCCCCGCTGTGGGCAGGGTGGCTCCCCTCCCTGGCTCCGACTAGCAAGCTCGGTGGTGTGGGTGGCGTGGGCTCTGGGCGGCGTGGGCTCTGGGCGGCGTGGGCTCTGGGTGGCGTGGGCTCGCAGGCGCGGTGGGGCCTCGCAGCCCTGGTGGGGGCGTGCCTCCCGTCTGCTGGGCTGGAACGCTGCGGAACCCTCAGACCCAGCAGGGAAGCACTGCTTTTGCCCACAGGATGGACAGATTGTCCCTCCGTAGGTGGACAGATGGCCTGTGGTTATGGGCAGTGTGGCCTCGGGCACTGGGCAGGGCATAGAGGGCGGCCTTGTGCTGTCTTTAAAACTTTTCTGGAATCTAAAAGTATTTCAGAATAAAAGATTATTTTTTAAAATGCCATGGCCGCTAGTCTCCGTAGAGGGTATGTCTCGTGGCCTGGTCAGGGACCTGCTGCAGAGCCGTGGCCTGGCAGTGTGCCTTCTGGACACACCCAGCGAGTGTGGGCACGCTGATGGCCCTGCGGCAGTCCCGCCTCCTGTCCTTCAAGGCCTGTCTCCACCCTAAAGCCCTCCTGCGCGCTGGTATGAATTTGGCCACCAACTCGACATTCTAACCCCTGGAGGAGTCTCTGGTCCCCCGAGGCCAGGGTGGGATGACTCCAGTCTGCTCAGAGCCTCTGTGATCCCCGCCCTGCTGCCCTGGCCCACTGGGGCCCGCTGGAGCCCCGGCCCCGATTTCTGCTGCCACTCTCGCACATGCCGTCCCTTCCCCTGGGACGCTTAGCCCTCGGGGCAGTGCGGCCCCAGCCCGCCCGCCCGCCCTGCACTGGGCACACGGGGCTCTGTCCTCACCAGAGCCAGGCTCGACTCGGCCGGGCCGTGTGTGGCTCACCAGTCCTGTCTCCCGGTCTGTGGCCCCGGGCGCTGACGACAGCTACCACAAAGGGTGCCGTCAACCCTGGGGGCCGAGGCGGGTTGCCCCCTCCCCGAGGGAGACGGGCTGTGGCACCCTGGTGGCCGAGTCTGGACGGGATGGCTGCTGCTGCCCGCCAGGCAGAGCCGGCGCCGGAGGACTTCTTTGGTGAGGCGCGTGATGCCGCTGTCTGTCGTTTCAGATTTCCTTTTTTCTCAATTCCTTCGTTCTGGCTTCTTTGTCCCCCACATCCCATTGCCCTTTGCCACGTTGTTTGGAACGATTTCCCAGAGTTCAGTTGTGGACTGCAGGGGGATTGGGATTTTCCGTGCCCCTCCCCAGGGCACGCGGCGTCCGCCGTGTGGAGACGCCTCACCCTCCATACAAAGCCTGAGGTGAACCTGCTCTCGCGGCCCCCCTGCTGAAGCCCAGGCACTGGGGGGCCCAGGGGTCCTGCCCACTCGGGTGTGCCCCCTGACAGGAGGGGGGGAGTGAGGCTTTCCGGGTGGAGGCTGGGCTGGGCAGCCAGGTGGAGAGAGGCTGGCTGCACCTGGGACTTCTGCTTTTCCATCCAGAAGGCCCTTCTTCCTGCATTCTGATGGTGTCTCCTTCTTACCCCTCGGGCCTCAGCGCGAGGGTCCCCCTCCATGACACCCCCGTCCCAAGTTATTCTTTCTCCCAGCACCCTGTTCTGTGCCACGCAGAGAGGAAGCCCCTTGAGGGCAGAGGCCAGGCCTGGCCTGTTCTTAGTGCCTGGGGCCTGGCCTGGCCCCTGTGGCTGCTCCGCAGCTGCCGGAAGAACAGATCTGTGCGTGGAGGGGCAGGGGCTCTGCAGGCTGGGAGACCTGCGGCTGGAGGGCTTTGCAAATATTCCACTCTGCCTCAGCAGAGCGGAGGTGTGAGAGCATCTCGGAGCTCCTGGCCTGCTCAGTTATTTCCAATTGAATTAATTATCCTGCATTAACAGCGAGCTGCTAATAGGGAACATTGGGTGCCCCTGAGGAGGAGCCGGCGCGGCTGGCGGGCACACTTGGCACCCAGAGAGCGGCAGGCAGCGTCTCCTTGGGAGGGCGGGGGCCCTGAGCCTCTCCAGCTGGCGGCCAGCTCCGTCCCACAGCCACTGACCCATGCCACGGCCACGTCTCTCTGTCCTTTGAAAGGAGAGGAAGGCCAAGCCTGGTGGGCGGGGGCTAGGTCAGCCTGCGGCAGATGGAACAGTCCCAGCTTGGCTCTCACTGCAGCTGTGAGTTAATGAGGCAGCCTGCGCCGGCATCTAAGCTCAGCAACCATCAGGAACTAAGTGGGGTTTCGTGGCTTGCCTCCAAATTCCCAGCCCTGTTGGGCCACCAAAGACCCACCCTATGCTGGCCTCTCCTTGGCCACGGGCCAGGCTGGCCCCGGCGTGAGCAGTGAGGCCCCCGGGCTGGCACGTGGGAGCAGAGGCCTGGGGGCCGGCCGGTGGGTGTGCGAGGCCACTCTTGTAGCCCTGCCCATGCCATCCTCTCATCTCATTCTCTCCCCATGGCCTTAGCAGACTTAGCAAATGCCAGAAGCAATGAGGGTTGCTCAACTCTGACCATGCCTACGACCCCTTGGCCTCGCCACGAGAGGCTGGCACCACTTTGTCACCTGCTTCTGAGAATGTGGAGGGAAAGCCCTGCTGCTCCTGGGGCCATTTCTACCTGGTGGGTTAAGGGCCACCTGGCCACCGCGGGGATTGGGGAGGGCGTGGGCTGGCTGCGCCGGGCTCAGGGTCTGGCGTCCAGCAGACTCATGCCCACGCTGCGGCTGGCATGTGCCCTTCTTCACAGGTGCTGCCATCTCCTTTCTTCCCCAGTGAGGGACGGCTTTGCTGGCCTCAGGCGACACTGTCCTCTTGCCCGGGCCACTGCAAATGCAGAAGTGGCAGCATGTCTGTGCAGAGCCCCAGGGAAGTGCAGACAGGTGTGGAGGGGTGCAGCCCTACCCTGAGAGTCCACAGGCTCTGGAGGCGATGCGCGAGGCCCTGGTAGCGTGGCCCAGGGGACTGGAGAGGGGACAGAAGGTGGAAGGAGGTTGGCACCAGGGGGAGAGGGAGATCTTAGCAGGAGGAGTCAGGCTTCCGAGGAAGCAAACTAGTTTCTCAGGCAGAAGGGGACTTTTTTTAATCAACAGACTTCGAATGTACAGGAAAATAGAGAATGAACCTCCAGGCATCAGCACCTGGATTCCAGAACACCGTACTCCTGACGTCACAGACACCGTGACCTGTCCCTGTAGCCCTTCGTCGTGGCATCTCTAAAACTAAAGATGTTTCCTACCTCAGCCCAACTTCATTATCACAGAAGAGAACATTCTGAGCAGAAGTTCCGAAGCAGGCAAGAGCGAGTTTGTTCTGGAATGGAATGAATGAATGAGTCACTGGATGTGCCCAGCCTCTGGGAGGGGCCCGAGGAGGCTGCACCTTGCGGGGAGCGGAGGCTGAGACCCAGGACCTGGGACTACAGACTGGCCGGGGGCTCCTGCTGTGGCTGCTCGAGTGGGCCCATGGGAGTGGCCCCATGGGAGTGGCCCCATGGGAGTGGCCCCAGGGCCTGTTTCCTTGTGTATAAAATAAAGTTCCTTCCTTGTGGGTGGTCAGGAGGATTCTGAGACAATGCACAGGAGGTGCTCTGCACACAGTAGGTGCCCAGCTGTTGCCACCCAGCCCGGTGCCACCACCCCTCCCAGCCACAGGTGCCCCTGTCCACTCTTCCCACACAAGGCTGTTACTCAGATGCCTCAAAACCAGAGCTCTGTCTGGGAGTTCTCTCCCCTGCATGGTGCAAAGCTTAGAGCTGCTCTGAGTGACTAAAAATCATCTGTTGAATCGTGTGCACGGTCAAGCTCAGAAAAGCCATGAGCTGGATTTTGCCCTTTGTCACATGAGTTGGCCTTGAAGCCATTTCCTGCCTTAATGAAAGTCCCTGCAGCTGTGCTCCGAGGGGGGCCCAGGCTCCAGGTGTCACCCCAGTGCCACAGGAGCTCCCTGCCTGGGCCCCGCCCACGGAAGGGCCACCAAACAGGCCCCTGGGGAAAAGGAACGTTGGAGGCGAAGTGTGGGGCAGTCGGGGCATGCGCACAGCAAGCCGCAGCTGCCACTCTGGAAGTCGGCTCTGGCGGCAGAAACGGCGGGAATGGAACGGGCACGAGGCCCTCAGAATGCTGTAGGACAGGGCGTGACCTCTCGGCAGTCCCGGGGCTGTGGGTGAAATGCAGGTTCTGACCGAGCAGTCTGGGCCTGAGACTGTCATTCTAAGAGGCTCTCGGGGCTTCTGTGGCAGCTGGTCTGGGCAGCGCACCAGGTGTGAGTAACAGGTTCGGAGGTGCAAGGAAGCAGCCTCTGCGGAGGGCGGCAGGAGGACAGACTACGTCCCCAGCCCCCTTCCAGCCTTGGGTACTGAAGACCTGGCAGTGTCACCACCTGCCATCCCATGGGGCGGTCCTGGGTGGCCTCTGGGCCCTGCAGCCCCGAGGCCAACACACGGTGCAGGGAGGGGGAGGCCCCAGGCCCTGCAGGCCGCCCTCAGCCTGTGTTTGCTCCCCTGGGAGCTGAGGGTCACACTCATGATCCCAGCTACCCCGCAGAGCCCAGGTGGGGATCAGGTGGACTGTGGATGTGAGAAAGCCCCCAAAGCCCGGGAGATTATATAAATGCCAGGACTGTGGTCACTGTCATTACTGGAAGGTTCAAGCCATTCCCGTCTTTCCTCCATGAAAGACAATGCCACCAAAACACGGAGACCCTGCTCTCGTTCTGTTTGTGTCCTTGCTGTGGTTCAGCTCGCTCTCCGATGGCCCGAGAGATAGGCCTCTTGCAGCCCCAAGGTGCGAGAGCAGAAAGCATTAGCGGGTGGGTTGTTGGAGGTGGCGGCAGGTAATCCCAGGAGGCCCTGGTGAGCTGAGGGCACAGAGCAGGTTCCTCTGGGGTTACCTGAGCAGGCACGTGTCCCAAACCAGTCCCTAGAGACCGCCTGGGCCCCGTTTCTGGATTAACTCTGAGGGAGCTCAATTAGGCAAACGACTCTGCTCAGTACAGTGCTTGCCTTAAAGAATAACAAGATTAGCTGTGCCCTTCTGGCTCCGGCACGGGTGTTCAGGGGGTTTCACTGGCCCTGAAGGACCTTGTCAGAGGCTGCGCCGGGCAGGCGGGTGCCTGGGTGTTGGGCCCATGTGGCTGTGGCCTGTGTGGTTGGCATTGGAGCTGGGGCTGGCAGCCTGGTCCTCTCCGGGCAGGGGGCTCATGAGGAAACGTTACCGTCTCTGTGGACCCAGCTGGCAGCCCAGGCCACGGCTGGACGGGCCACAGTCCCTGCCTGTCTCTAGGGAGCTGTGTGTCCCTGGGCAGGGTGCTTTCTCTCTCTGAAGCTCAGAATCTTGCATGGAAAATGGACATTGAAATATTTATCTCTAGAAGCCTTGAGAACCCCATGCTGGCCACTGCAGCAGCCCCAGGTCTGGCAGACGTTTCAAGTTCAGTGAGTGGCCCCTGGCTCCCTGGAGCTGGGGCCAGGGGACCAGGCTCCAGGGGCCGAAGCCCCCCGGTGTCCGTGCTGTCCGTGCTGCCCACGTCCCCGGCCGTGGCAGGTGGTCCCGGGGCCCCTCACACGCCCTCTTTCCTGGGAGCGGCTGTGGGGACCGGCGCTTCAGGTAGGACTGGTGCTGGCGCCCCTCGGGGGTCTGCGCTGCTCCCGGCCCCCGGCCCCCCAGACACTGGGCAGCCTGGGCTGTGGAGACCCGTGGAGCTGGGGCAGGAAGAGCCCAGGCTCCGGTCTGGTGCCTCAGCTGACTGGAAGTGGCTTTGAGAGCCACCGTGCCGGTGGATGTGAGAAGGACATCTTCCTGGCAGGGTCCTGGGAGGTTGGGGTTGTCTGTAACGCCCGGCTGGTGCCTGGAGCCTGCTCCATAGGCAGTGGGTCCGAGCACAGCTCCGCAGAGGTCGGGTCACTCCTGTGGGTGGGAACGGACTTGCCACACCTGCGGCCCCAGAACCCCAGCGGCGGGCCCGTCCCCTACTTTAGCTGAGCCCTCAGCCAGCCCGGGCGTCTGGCGGGGGCCACAGTGGGTGCGCACAGAAAGAGGGAAGAGCTCGTAAATACGGGCAGTGGCTACACTCCCTGACCATCGCCTGTTTGTCATCAGTGAACTTTTACTGAGCGCCTGTTGTTTGCCTTGAGGTGCTCAGAGGAGAGCACGGGGGCGGGGAGCTGTTCACTCCCCAGTGACATGTGTACAGAGTGCCAGGTGCCCTCTGAGGCCAGTCGGGTCACTGCAGGACGGGGTGGGGGTGGGGAGGCGTCTCCCCGTGCCTGCCCTGGAGGAGTGGGCGTGCTGGGCGCGGGGAGCCTGTGGAGAGGGGCTGGAGGGGAGGATGGGAGCAGACTGGGCCTTGCGTCCTGCACCCCCTCGGGTAAAGGGACCACACTCACTGGGCACCAGTGGACGCTGTTCTTGGGGTCTGACAGTCGAGGCCCGGCCAGTGCTCCTCAACCCCTAGCTCTCCCTGGGCTCAGCTCCCTGGCCCCTCCTGGGACACGATGCCCCACCTGGCCACCGCGGGGATTGGGGAGGGCGTGGCTGGCTGTGGCGCGGCTCAGGGTCTGGCGTCCCAGCGACTCATGCCCACGCTGCGGCTGGCATGTGTGCCCTTCCTCAACAGTGCCTGGGCCATCTCCCTTTTTCCCCCAGTGAGTGATGCCTTTGCCTGGCTTCCCAGGCGACCAACTGTCCTCCCCTTGCCCGGGCCACTGCAAATGCAGAAGTGGCAGCATGTCCTGTGCAGAGCGCCCGGGGAAATGGCAGACAGGTGTGGAGGGTGCAGCCCTACCCTGGAGTCCACAAGCTCTGAGGCCTGTGCGCGAGGCCCTGGTAGCGTGCCCCCAGGGGAACTGGAAGAGGGGAAGAAGGGTGGAAGGAGGTGGCCACCCAGGGGGAGAGGGAGATCTTAGCAGGAGAGTCAGGCCTTCCCGAGGAATGCAAACTAGTTTCTCAGGCAGTAAGGGGCTTTTTGTTAATCAACAGACCTTCCCGAATCGTACATGAAATAAGAGAATGAACCTCGCAAGGCATCCAGCACCTGGATTCGGAGAACACCGACTCCCTGACGTCACATGAAACCCGTGACCTGTCGCCTGTAGCCCTTCGTCCGGGCCCACCTCCTATAAAGCTACAAGAAAAAGAGTCCTACCTCACCAACCTCAATTATCACAGAAGAGAACATTCTGAGCAGAAGTTCGAAGCAGGCAAGAGCGAGTTTGTTCCTGAATGGAATCGAATAATGAGTCACTGGAATGTGCCCAGCCTCTGGGAGGGGGCCCCGAGGAGGCTGCACTTGCGGGGCAGCGGAGCTGAACCCAGGACCTGGGGACTACAGACTGGCCGGGGGCTCCTGCTGTGGCCTTGCTCGAGTGGCCCCATGGGCGTGGCCACATGGGAAGTGGCCCCATGGGAGTGGCCCCAGGGCCTGTTTCCTTGTTATAAAATAAAGTTCCTCTTGTGGGTGGTCAGGAGGTACCCTTCTGAGACACAATGCACAGGAGTGGTGCTCCCTGCACACAGTAGGTGCCCAGCTGTTGCCACCCCCAGGCCGCGGTGCCAGCACCACCTCCCAGCCCCACCAGTTCCCCTGCCACTCCTTCCCAGCCACCAGGCTGTTAGCTCAGTGCCCTCCAAAACCCAGAGCCTTGTCTGGAGTTCTCCTCCCCCCTGCATGGTGCAAAGCTTTAGAGCTGCTCTTGAAGTGACTAAAAATCGATCTGTTGATCGTGTGCACGGTCAAGCTCAGAAAAGCATGAGCTGATTCTTGCCCTTTGTCCCACATGAGTTGGCCTTGAAGGCCATTTCCTGCCTAATGAAAGTCCCCCTGCAGCTGTGCTCCGAGGGGGGCCAGGCTCCAGGTGTCCACCCCCAGTGCTGCAGAGCTCGCCGCCCTGGGCCCCGCCCACCGGAAGGGCCCACCCAACAGGCCCCTGGGAAAAGGAAACGTTGGGGCGAATGTGGGGCAGTCGGGCATGCGCATGCGTGGGCTCGCAGGCGCGGTGGGGCCTCGCAGCCCTGGTGGGGGCGTGCCTCCCGTCTGCTGGGCTGGAACGCTGCGGAACCCTCAGACCCAGCAGGGAAGCACTGCTTTTGCCCACAGGATGGACAGATTGTCCCTCTGTAGGTGGGACAGATGGCCTGTGGTTATGGGCAGTATGGCCTCGGGCACTGGGCAGGGCATAGAGGGCGGCCTTGTGCTGTCTTTAAAACTTTTCTGGAATCTAAAAGTATTTCAGAATAAAAGATTATTTTTTAAAATGCCATGGCCGCTAGTCTCCGTAGAGGGTATGTCTCGTGGCCTGGTCAGGGACCTGCTGCAGAGCCATGGCCTGGCAGTGTGCCTTCTGGACACACCCAGCGAGTGTGGGCACGCTGATGGCCCTGCGGCAGTCCCGCCTCCCGTCCTTCAAGGCCTGTCTCCACCCTAAAGCCCTCCTGCGCGCTGGTATGAATTTGGCCACCAACTCGACATTCTAACCCCTGGAGGAGTCTCTGGTCCCCCGAGGCCAGGGTGGGATGACTCCAGTCTGCTCAGAGCCTCTGTGATCCCCGCCCTGCTGCCCTGGCCCACTGGGGCCCGCTGGAGCCCCGGCCCCGATTTCTGCTGCCACTCTCGCACATGCCGTCCCTTCCCCTGGGACGCTTAGCCCTCGGGGCAGTGCGGCCCCAGCCCGCCCGCCCGCCCTGCACTGGGCACACGGGGCTCTGTCCTCACCAGAGCCAGGCTCGACTCGGCCGGGCCGTGTGTGGCTCACCAGCCCTGAGCTCCTGTCTCCCGGTCTGTGGCCCCGGGCGCTGACGACAGCTACCACAAAGGGTGCCGTCAACCCTGGGGGCCGAGGCGGGTTGCCCCTCCCCGAGGGAGACGGGCTGTGGCACCCTGGTGGCCGAGTCCGGACGGGATGGCTGCTGCTGCCCGCCAGGCAGAGCCGGCGCCGGAGGACTTCTTTGGTGAGGCGCGTGATGCCGCTGTCTGTCGTTTCAGATTTCCTTTTTTCTCATTTCCTTCGTTCTGGCTTCTTTGTCCCCCACATCCCATTGCCCTTTGCCACGTTGTTTGGAACGATTTCCCAGAGTTCAGTTGTGGACTGCAGGGGGATTGGGATTTTCCGTGCCCCTCCCCAGGGCACGCGGCGTCCGCCGCGTGGAGACGCCTCACCCTCCATACAAAGCCTGAGGTGAACCTGCTCTCGCGGCCCCTCTGCTGAAGCCCAGGCACTGGGGGGCCCAGGGGTCCTGCCCACTCGGGTGTGCCCCCCGACAGGAGGGGGGGAGTGAGGCTTTCCGGGTGGAGGCTGGGCTGGGCAGCCAGGTGGAGAGAGGCTGGCTGCACCTGGGACTTCTGCTTTTCCACCCAGAAGGCCCTTCTTCCTGCATTCTGATGGTGTCTCCTTCTTACCCCTCGGGCCTCAGCGCGAGGGTCCCCCTCCATGACACCCCCGTCCCAAGTTATTCTTTCTCCCAGCACCCTGTTCTGTGCCACGCAGAGAGGAAGCCCCTTGAGGGCAGAGGCCAGGCCTGGCCTGTTCTTAGTGCCTGGGGCCTGGCCTGGCCCCTGTGGCTGCTCCGCAGCTGCCGGAAGAACAGATCTGTGCGTGGAGGGGCAGGGGCTCTGCAGGCTGGGAGACCTGCGGCTGGAGGGCTTTGCAAATATTCCACTCTGCCTCAGCAGAGCGGAGGTGTGAGAGCATCTCGGAGCTCCTGGCCTGCTCAGTTATTTCCAATTGAATTAATTATCCTGCATTAACAGCGAGCTGCTAATAGGGAACATTGGGTGCCCCTGAGGAGGAGCCGGCGCGGCTGGCGGGCACACTTGGCACCCAGAGAGCGGCAGGCAGCGTCTCCTTGGGAGGGCGGGGGCCCTGAGCCTCTCCAGCTGGCGGCCAGCTCCGTCCCACAGCCACTGACCCATGCCACGGCCACGTCTCTCTGTCCTTTGAAAGGAGAGGAAGGCCAAGCCTGGTGGGCGGGGGCTAGGTCAGCCTGCGGCAGATGGAACAGTCCCAGCTTGACTCTCACTGCAGCTGTGAGTTAATGAGGCAGCCTGCGCCGGCATCTAAGCTCAGCAACCATCAGGAACTAAGTGGGGTTTCGTGGCTTGCCTCCAAATTCCCAGCCCTGTTGGGCCACCAAAGACCCACCCTATGCTGGCCTCTCCTTGGCCACGGGCCAGGCTGGCCCCGGCGTGAGCAGTGAGGCCCCCGGGCTGGCACGTGGGAGCAGAGGCCTGGGGGCCGGCCGGTGGGTGTGCGAGGCCACTCTTGTAGCCCTGCCCATGCCATCCCCTCGTCTCATTCTCTCCCCATGGCCTTAGCAGACTTAGCAAATGCCAGAAGCAATGAGGGTTGCTCAACTCTGACCATGCCTACGACCCCTTGGCCTCGCCACGAGAGGCTGGCACCACTTTGTCACCTGCTTCTGAGAATGTGGAGGGAAAGCCCTGCTGCTCCTGGGGCCATTTCTACCTGGTGGGTTAAGGGCCACCTGGCCACCGCGGGGATTGGGGAGGGCGTGGGCTGGCTGCGCCGGGCTCAGGGTCTGGCGTCCAGCAGACTCATGCCCACGCTGCGGCTGGCATGTGCCCTTCTTCACAGGTGCTGCCATCTCCTTTCTTCCCCAGTGAGGGACGGCTTTGCTGGCCTCAGGCGACACTGTCCTCTTGCCCGGGCCACTGCAAATGCAGAAGTGGCAGCATGTCTGTGCAGAGCCCCAGGGAAGTGCAGACAGGTGTGGAGGGGTGCAGCCCTACCCTGAGAGTCCACAGGCTCTGGAGGCGATGCGTGAGGCCCTGGTAGCGTGGCCCAGGGGACTGGAGAGGGGACAGAAGGTGGAAGGAGGTTGGCACCAGGGGGAGAGGGAGATCTTAGCAGGAGGAGTCAGGCTTCCGAGGAAGCAAACTAGTTTCTCAGGCAGAAGGGGACTTTTTTTAATCAACAGACTTCGAATGTACAGGAAAATAGAGAATGAACCTCCAGGCATCAGCACCTGGATTCCAGAACACCGTACTCCTGACGTCACAGACACCGTGACCTGTCCCTGTAGCCCTTCGTCGTGGCATCTCTAAAACTAAAGATGTTTCCTACCTCAGCCCAACTTCATTATCACAGAAGAGAACATTCTGAGCAGAAGTTCCGAAGCAGGCAAGAGCGAGTTTGTTCTGGAATGGAATGAATGAATGAGTCACTGGATGTGCCCAGCCTCTGGGAGGGGCCCGAGGAGGCTGCACCTTGCGGGGAGCGGAGGCTGAGACCCAGGACCTGGGACTACAGACTGGCCGGGGGCTCCTGCTGTGGCTGCTCGAGTGGGCCCATGGGAGTGGCCCCATGGGAGTGGCCCCATGGGAGTGGCCCCAGGGCCTGTTTCCTTGTGTATAAAATAAAGTTCCTTCCTTGTGGGTGGTCAGGAGGATTCTGAGACAATGCACAGGAGGTGCTCTGCACACAGTAGGTGCCCAGCTGTTGCCACCCAGCCCGGTGCCACCACCCCTCCCAGCCACAGGTGCCCCTGTCCACTCTTCCCACACAAGGCTGTTACTCAGATGCCTCAAAACCAGAGCTCTGTCTGGGAGTTCTCTCCCCTGCATGGTGCAAAGCTTAGAGCTGCTCTGAGTGACTAAAAATCATCTGTTGAATCGTGTGCACGGTCAAGCTCAGAAAAGCCATGAGCTGGATTTTGCCCTTTGTCACATGAGTTGGCCTTGAAGCCATTTCCTGCCTTAATGAAAGTCCCTGCAGCTGTGCTCCGAGGGGGGCCCAGGCTCCAGGTGTCACCCCAGTGCTGCAGGAGCTCCCTGCCTGGGCCCCGCCCACGGAAGGGCCACCAAACAGGCCCCTGGGGAAAAGGAACGTTGGAGGCGAAGTGTGGGGCAGTCGGGGCATGCGCACAGCAAGCCGCAGCTGCCACTCTGGAAGTCGGCTCTGGCGGCAGAAACGGCGGGAATGGAACGGGCACGAGGCCCTCAGAATGCTGTAGGACAGGGCGTGACCTCTCGGCAGTCCCGGGGCTGTGGGTGAAATGCAGGTTCTGACCGAGCAGTCTGGGCCTGAGACTGTCATTCTAAGAGGCTCTCGGGGCTTCTGTGGCAGCTGGTCTGGGCAGCGCACCAGGTGTGAGTAACAGGTTCGGAGGTGCAAGGAAGCAGCCTCTGCGGAGGGCAGCAGGAGGACAGACTACGTCCCCAGCCCCCTTCCAGCCTTGGGTACTGAAGACCTGGCAGTGTCACCACCTGCCATCCCATGGGGCGGTCCTGGGTGGCCTCTGGGCCCTGCAGCCCCGAGGCCAACACACGGTGCAGGGAGGGGGAGGCCCCAGGCCCTGCAGGCCGCCCTCAGCCTGTGTTTGCTCCCCTGGGAGCTGAGGGTCACACTCATGATCCCAGCTACCCCGCAGAGCCCAGGTGGGGATCAGGTGGACTGTGGATGTGAGAAAGCCCCCAAAGCCCGGGAGATTATATAAATGCCAGGACTGTGGTCACTGTCATTACTGGAAGGTTCAAGCCATTCCCGTCTTTCCTCCATGAAAGACAATGCCACCAAAACACGGAGACCCTGCTCTCGTTCTGTTTGTGTCCTTGCTGTGGTTCAGCTCGCTCTCCGATGGCCCGAGAGATAGGCCTCTTGCAGCCCCAAGGTGCGAGAGCAGAAAGCATTAGCGGGTGGGTTGTTGGAGGTGGCGGCAGGTAATCCCAGGAGGCCCTGGTGAGCTGAGGGCACAGAGCAGGTTCCTCTGGGGTTACCTGAGCAGGCACGTGTCCCAAACCAGTCCCTAGAGACCGCCTGGGCCCCGTTTCTGGATTAACTCTGAGGGAGCTCAATTAGGCAAACGACTCTGCTCAGCACAGTGCTTGCCTTAAAGAATAACAAGATTAGCTGTGCCCTTCTGGCTCCGGCACGGGTGTTCAGGGGGTTTCACTGGCCCTGAAGGACCTTGTCAGAGGCTGCACCGGGCAGGCGGGTGCCTGGGTGTTGGGCCCATGTGGCTGTGGCCTGTGTGGTTGGCATTGGAGCTGGGGCTGGCAGCCTGGTCCTCTCCTGGCAGGGGGCTCATGAGGAAACGTTACCGTCTCTGTGGACCCAGCTGGCAGCCCAGGCCACGGCTGGACGGGCCACAGTCCCTGCCTGTCTCTAGGGAGCTGTGTGTCCCTGGGCAGGGTGCTTTCTCTCTCTGAAGCTCAGAATCTTGCATGGAAAATGGACATTGAAATATTTATCTCTAGAAGCCTTGAGAACCCCATGCTGGCCACTGCAGCAGCCCCAGGTCTGGCAGACGTTTCAAGTTCAGTGAGTGGCCCCTGGCTCTCTGGAGCTGGGGCCAGGGGACCAGGCTCCAGGGGCTGAAGCCCCCTGGTGTCCGTGCTGTCCGTGCTGCCCATGTCCCCAGCCGTGGCAGGTGGTCCCGGGGCCCCTCACACGCCCTCTTTCCTGGGAGCGGCTGTGGGGACCGGCGCTTCAGGTGGGACCGGCGCTTCAGGTGGGACCGGCGCTTCAGGTGAGCCCGGTGCTGGCGCCCCTCAGGGGTCTGCGCTGCTCCCGGCCCCCGGCCCCCAGACACTGGGCAGCCTGGGCTGTGGAGACCCGTGGAGCTGGGGCAGGAAGAGCCCAGGCTCCGGTCTGGTGCCTCAGCTGACTGGAAGTGGCTTTGAGAGCCACCGTGCCGGTGGATGTGAGAAGGACATCTTCCTGGCAGGGTCCTGGGAGGTTGGGGTTGTCTGTAACGCCCGGCTGGTGCCTGGAGCCTGCTCCATAGGCAGTGGGTCCGAGCACAGCTCCGCAGAGGTCGGGTCACTCCTGTGGGTGGGAACGGACTTGCCACACCTGCGGCCCCAGAACCCCAGCGGCGGGCCCGTCCCCTACTTTAGCTGAGCCCTCAGCCAGCCCGGGCGTCTGGCGGGGGCCACAGTGGGTGCGCACAGAAAGAGGGAAGAGCTCGTAAATACGGGCAGTGGCTACACTCCCTGACCATCGCCTGTTTGTCATCAGTGAACTTTTACTGAGCGCCTGTTGTTTGCCTTGAGGTGCTCAGAGGAGAGCACGGGGGCGGGGAGCTGTTCACTCCCCAGTGACATGTGTACAGAGTGCCAGGTGCCCTCTGAGGCCGGTCGGGTCACCGCAGGACGGGGTGGGGGTGGGGAGGTGTCTCCCCGTGCCTGCCCTGGAGGAGTGGGCGTGCTGGGCGCGGGGAGCCTGTGGAGAGGGGCTGGAGGGGAGGATGGGAGCAGACTGGGCCTTGCGTCCTGCACCCCCTCGGGTAAAGGGACCACACTCACTGGGCACCAGTGGACGCTGTTCTTGGGGTCTGACAGTCGAGGCCCGGCCAGTGCTCCTCAACCCCTAGCTCTCCCTGGGCTCAGCTCCCTGGCCCCTCCTGGGACACGATGCCAGCCCCCCCATGGGCCAGCCGCCCTGCCCCGGCACACTGTGCTCAGCCCGAGGTGGGTGCCTGTGCCTGGCGCTCTGGGCAGAGCTGGTGCAGACCAGCGTCCCCTTAGGACAACACCCCCGGGCCGTCTGCCTGGGGAGGGGTGTGGGGCTGGGATGGGGCCTCTGCTGCTCCCCTCCCCTCCCGTGAGCCATCCTGCAGGCCCCCATACCTGTGCCCTGCCCACGGCCGTGGCCTGCTGCGTGCTGTCCCCCGGGCCCTCCCCTTTGTGTGCTGCTTTGTGGGCTCAGCTCAGACTCTGTCTTCCACGAAGGGGTCTTGTCCCCTCAGGCCTCGGCCTTCGTTCCTCTTCCCCTGCCTCTGCACTCCTGCAGGGCCCCTCCTGCTCCCGGGCCTCCCCGTGGGGCGTAATGGCCGACTACGTGGTGGCAGCCACCGGGACCCCTCCTGCCCACCCTCCCGAGGGGCTCGGGCAGTGGTGTGTGGGTGGGGCACGGGCTCCGGCAGAGAGCGGGCGTGGGTGGGCACAGGCCGTGCAGTTCTGCAGGCCGGGCGCCCTGCCACCTCTTGGCTGTGAGGCTGTGCCTGGGACCCTGTGCCCTGGGACGCGGGCAGCGCCTCCTCTGCTCGGCGACCCTGTGAGCCAGCCCAGGCCCCCTGGCTGTGTGGGAAGAAGCGGGACATGCACGAAGCTGACAGCCAGCAGTCCTGTAAAGCCTGTTTGCAAAAGCCAAGCACGTGGCCCTCAGCTGGGGCATCCCGTGTGGCTGCGAATAGGGACCAGCTGCCGATACACACGCTACACTTGGGTGCTTGGCAGAGGCGTCATCATGCCAGGTGGAGGAGGCCACGGCCTGCACCATCCCATTTCTCTCACTCCAGGGATGGCAAAACAACACGCGACAGCACGTGCCAGGGCGTCAGGGCTGTCAGGGGTGGGGCAACTGCACGGGGAGCTTTCTGGATTTGGTGATGTTTGTCAAAACTCATAGATCTGTATGTTAAAAAGAGTAATTTTTACTGTATATGAATTTTACCTCAATAAATCTGACCTAAACTGTTTTTTGAAAAGTTCTGCCTTCTAAAATATACTAATCTTTTTAAAAAAGCAAAACAAAACAAAAAGCGGCCGGCAGCAGCTGCTGCTAGCACGGTGTTGGTGATGATGGTGATAAGGTCTCTCCCGGTGCCCCTCCTGGGATGCCCATAAAAGGCGGCTGGGAACCCTGAACCCAGCTGCGGCCCAGGCCTGTGTAGCCGGACAACCACTCCACGCTCACCAAATATTTTCAAATTTCCTTTCCCAGGCAGGCTGAAGTCCATGTCAATATTGACCAAGAAGGCAGACCGGCGTTTGCGCTGTATTTGGTTAATAGTTGAAGAGTCACTCCTCGGCTATTTTTCCAGTTGCTCTGTACAGGTGGCCTTGTTTTATTAAAAAAATAAAATCTAAAAAAAGCTATGCCTAAATCAAACATTATAAATGCAGTAGGAAAGCCCACATATTTAAATGAATCTCAGAATTGATAAAGCAATTACCTCCCCCTTCCCCTTCAGTGTGTTTATTAAGTTAATTTTAAAATATATATTTGATTTGTTTAAGTGAGGACTGAGGCAGCTCCCCAAGCCATGGTGGGTATTGACCAAGTCACTTCCCTGCTTCCCTGTCCGGGGGGCTCTGGAACCCAGCTTGTCAGCACCCTCCTTCCGCCATTATGGCCCTGAAGGGCCCTGGGACCCAGGCCCTGGACCGGCCCCCTATCACAGAGAGGGGTGGCCAGGTCAGACGGTGATGACAGGCCTTGCCACGGTCCTAACTTAACAGCCAGGCTCTGCCCTTCCTGAGGGCATTTGCCAGCTGACTGCTCCCTGTGCTTCCTGTCCTGATCCTCCGGGAGCAGGAGGTCACACCCAACTCACAGCTCTGTGACCATCTTCCAAGTCAGTAGACATTCCCTGAGCCACCCACAAGGGCGACAGGAAGGACACCTGCCTAATACCCCATGCTGGGCCCCGCAGCACAC